CCAGTCCATCATCCTTGTGACCTTACTGAGTATTTTCTGTGTCAGGCACCTGGAGCCTAACAGAGGCAAAGGCAGCAGCAATATGTTGGGATCAGGGCTGGGGTAGCGCATTTGGGGCGACTGGGAGAGATGTCAGGGGATGCGCTGGGAAGAAGTGACATCTCGTGATGCTTAAGGGTGAGCTAGAGCTCATCCAGAGAAGGGTTTATTTATGGAGCAGAGTGATCCTGGCTCAGAAACTGCATGCGTGAAGCCTTGTGGCCAGAGAGAGCAGGGCTGGGTCCTGGAGAGGGCTGTAGGGAGACACAGGCTGGAGGAGAGGGCAGGAATCCAGTCAAAAGGGGCCTCGAATGCCGGGTAGAGTTGCTAGTTGCTGAGTCTTCAGCGGGAGGGCTGTGGCGAGTGGGACACATGGGAAAGTTGGAATCAAGTTTGTCTCCTAGATGCTCTGGTGGGCATGTGGGAGAGCAGCTGAAGGACATTAAAAGTGAAGGCTGAAGTAGCTACTGGACTGAGTGGTGGCCGTGGGGCTGGGATGGCAAGCTTCGGTGATGCTGAGATGAGGGTGGCTTGGACCAGGCACTGCGGTGGCACGACCTGGCCTCCTGAAATCAGCCCATTGCTTCATGCCTTGGAGCAGGCCAGTGGCATGTTAAAGGGGTTGGGGCACTGCCACTAGGTTTCCCCCTCCAAGACAGGGGACAGTCTCCCAGAGCAGCTCCCAGGTTCAGGTCCAGTGGTTCTCAGAGCAGGGCATCCAGGAGCCCAGCCCACATGCCAGTCCTGCCCTGGGGCTGCCCCTGCACCTTGGAAACAGCGTGGGGTTGCTGGCCACGCCTTGCTGCCCTTTCTGTGGTCTGAGCAGACCCTGGAGCTGGAGCCAGCCTGCCTGAGTGCAGATTCTGCCGTGGACTGGTTGCGTGACCATGTTGACATTCCTTAACATCGCTGTGTCTCGGTTCCCCAATTTGCAAAACGGATCTAAAACTGGCACCTACCTCATGGGGTTATTGTGGGATTAAATGAGTTAATGTGTTTAAAGCACTTAGTGCTGGCACAGAGTAGCAGTTCTCTAGAAGTTAGCTGTCATTTTCATTATTACTGTTACTACTGTGACATCCCTCTAGACCGTGTGCTACTCAGGGCCATGGTGAATGAGTGGCTGAATTAATGAAAAGTGTGTTCTGGAAGCTTCTTGCCCTCACTCACATGCAGAGGCAGGGAGCAGCGAGGTTTGGATAGGTGTGTAACACAGGCATGAGCACGCAGGGAGGAGGCTGGGGCCTTCAGGCGAGTCTGTGTGTACTCGCACACGTGTGTATGCACAGGCACGTGGGCCCTTGCACACACACACGTGAGCAACCAGCTGTGTTGGCTCCCTCCACGGGCTGATGGGGTGATGTCCTGTCCTAGCCAGCTGGGAGGGGGAGGGTGGCAGGGAGACAGAGTGTGTGGTTTGGGAAGGCAGGATTCAGGACTAGGCCAGGGTGGGGCAGACTCCTCTCTATCCTTTGCCCTACCCTTCTTCAGGGACTCTGCCTCTGACCCTGGTCCTGAGCCCTCTATTATAAAGCCTTCTCATTTCTGTTTCTTATTTGAGGCTCATAGCAGCCTGTGCCATAGACATGATTATTGTTCCCATTTTAGTGATGAGGAAACTGAGGCTTAGCAAAGTAAACTGATGGGTCCAAGGCCGAACAGCTTGTGGGTACAAGTGTGTCCCCCCCAACCCACCTCTAGCTGGGCACCACCTCCCTGCCCTCTCCCCAGGCCTTGGGCCCCACCATCCAGGCACCCTCCTGTCTCAGTTGTAGGACTGTGATGCCCGCAGATCCCAGCATCCCTATCCAGGCTGGCCGAGCTCCTCCACTTGCTCTGCACATGCTCCTTTCCTGTCCTGGCTCCTGCCCAGGCCCGAGGGCTGCTTGCAGGAGGACCTGGAGAGCCGGGCAGCCCAGCCCAGCACAAACAATCCTATTTCCAGAGGCGGCTGTGGGCCTCACCCAAGAAGGGCAAGGCGGCCCTGGCTTGGGGTACGTACCAAGGGCAGGCTGTCTTCCCAGCACTGGGCTCAGTCCATCTCAGCCAGTGGGCATTTTGGGGAAGGGGTCCGGAGACCGACCCTCTTCCCATCTTCTCCAGAGCATCTGGTTGCGATTAGGGGCAGAGAAGTGAGAGGGGCCGGCAAGGGTCCAGCAGGCGCCAGCAGCCAAGAATGACTTAATTGGATAAAATGTCTAATGACAAACCAGAGCCTCACAGCAAAGAGTCCTGGCCCCAGCCCCAGGCTTGGTCCTGGCCAAACCTTGTCTCAACCTCTGTGCTTGCTGGCTCCCAAGTTACCTCCAGTATCGTGTGCTCAATTATGCAGTGATTGAGCACCTACTGTTTGCTAGGCACTGAGGATACACATTTGCAGAAGGTGGGAGAGTCCTGGGGGCACCAGGGAGACAAGCACATAGTTACAGCACCGGTGGATGCTCTAGGAAAGAGGGCTCTATCCAGGAGCTCTGGGGAGTGGGTGGGGACAGGCGGAGGTTGAGAGGGCATCTGACACAGGGTAGGCCTGAAATTCATAAAGATCGCAGGGACTATCAGATCCACGTGTCTGGTAGCCTGTGTCCCATAGACATATCCCTAGTAGGGGTGGAAATTGAAGTGGCAATATAAGACATGTCTTTGAGGGCATACATCTTTCTGAAATGGACAAGCATGGTTTCTGTGCCATTTAGAATAAATTTAATGAGGGAACTGAGTCTAGGAATGGCTGCGAAATGGCCTGGGTGCCACCGCTTTCCAACCCTGTGCCGTGGCAGACATTGCTAATTGATCATAACAATCTTGCCTGCTAAACACAAATGGAGTCTCAGAGTTCTTTTTAATTAGAGTGCTCCTGGCTGTCACTAACTGATAGGAGATGGGTTTTAAGATGAAAGCTATTTGCCATCCTTGATGGTGTCTAAGCTCCTTATTTTATGGGGAAAGTGACTGCCCGAGGTGTTGGAAGGTAGTGATAGGATTATACAGTGGCCCCCACTATGGAGACATCTTTGACTGTCACACCTGGGAGGAAGTGGCGTCTAGTGAGTAGAGGCCAGGGATGCTGGTAGACATGTTACAATGCTCAGAAACCACGTGCCCCCCAACAAAGAGTCATCCGGTCCAAAATGTCAATAGTACCAAGGTTGAGAAACCCTGAACTAAAAGAACTCTGCTCTCTGGCTTCTGGTACCTAGAGTCCCCTGGAAGGTAAGATTATGTACCATTGCTAGCAGAGAAATAAGGAACTGGTTTGGAAGGTTCCAGAACAGTGGTTCTCACCCTTTTCTGCAGTGTTAGGTCCAGGGCTGCTTCTTTTTTTTTTTTTAATATGTTTTTATTGATTTTTTTTAGAGAAAGAGGAAGGGAAAGGGAGAGATAGCAACATCAATGCATCAACATCCAGCAGCTGCCTCCTGCCTGCCCCCAGCTGGGGATTGAGCCCACAACCCAGCATGTGCCCTGACCAGGAATCTAACTGTAACCTCCTGGTGTATAAGTTGACACTCAACTATTGAGCCACACTGGCTGGCCCAAGGCTTCTTAATAGCTCCCTGGGGATCATGTAAGAATCCTAATGCTCAGGCTGCACCACAGAGTACACTACCCCAGAGTTTCTGGGGTGGGTCCCAGGCATCAGGAATTGTTAAAGCTCCCCAGATGATTCCAGTATGCAGCTGAGGTTAAGAATAATAACTGCGTTGGAGGCAGGTCTACCTGGGTTTGAAACTTATCTCCATCCCTAACCTGCCATGTAACCTTCTTTAACCTCTGTGAGCCACTGATTCCTGTCTGTGAAATGGAGAGCATCCTACCTACTGTGGGGGGCTGGGGTGAGGGCCAAAATTGTCCTATGTGCAAAGTGCGTGGAGTGGAGCTGGGTACATGTCTCTCAGTGCCTGTGGGGTGTTTCCTGCCCCAGTAGTCAGTGTCCCCAAAGGCAATGATGGCATGGGGTGGGGCTTCTGCAGAGTAAGTAGGCTGATTCCCCTCCTGGACCTTCACTCTGGACTCCCAGGGCTCAGCTTTCTGTCCCCTTCTCCCAGGTCAGGATGCAGGCCGAGGCTCTGGATGGGCCACCAAGGAAACCATGCAGGGCTGGAATCGGAGAGCCCGAGAGAGCCCTGGGAAGGTGTCGGAGCCCGACAGGACCCAGCTGAGCCAGGACCTGGGTGGGGGCACCCTGGCCATTGACACACTGCCGGATAACAGGACCAGGGTGGTGGTGAGTGCTGGAGGAACATGGAGGGGGAGGGAAGTGGCGGTGGGGGGCCCACCAGGTGCTCATGTACACTTGTCAGGCGCGCAATCACATAACCTTTGGTGTTGGCGCTGGAGGTCCCTGTGAAGACAGGGGTCTAGAGGGGATGGAAGCAGGGCCCAGCCCGGGTCATGAAATTTTGGCATCTCAAGAGTTTCATAGGCTGCCTACCTCCTTGTGGACCCAGAGAAATAAAGCAATGTGCTCAAGGATGCACAGCATGTCCACAGGGTTCCTGACACTGGACTCTTCCACTGTTTAGGGCCTCCACTAAAAACTGAATGAAGGTGGCATTCTTAGTCACATCCAGCTGCCAGCTCTGGCCCCTCCCCCACCTCATTTCTGTGCCATCTACAGACTGAGTGTCCCCAAAGGGTTCATGGCTGCAGAGGCCCAGGCTGCTCAGCCTCATGGCAGGGAACTCTGAGTAAAGGAAGCAATGGGTTGAAGCCCCAGGAGAGACCCTTCTCTGCCTGGGGCAGTCCTGGGGGTGGGGGTGCAGGAAGGTCCGGGGAAATCAAGGCCAGGAGGAAGGGCCGTCCTCCCGCTGGCTTTCTGGGGGCCTCTACATGTGTGTGGGTGAATCTATGCTCATGGGTGCATGTCAGCAAGAGTGTGTTAGCAAGCGTGTCTGGGGGGCTTGGGGGATTATGTACATCTTCCTGTGCGTCTGTCACCATGAGCTCTTTATGTCTGTCATGAGTGTGTGTGTATGTCCGTGTGAGTGTGTATGGGCCTGTGGCCAAGAGAAAAGGGGGTGGATTCTCCAGATGCTGAAAAAGTATAAAACGAGAGAACGAAACAAGAGGATGTGCATCTCAGTATTTATTTCTGTATTTTATGTTTTCATAACATTTTTTTAAAAATCAAAGAAATGTTTATGGATAGTCAGAAAGGTCAAATAATGCTAAGATTGGAAAACAAAACACAGAATCCACCCCCCTCCCCTCTGCCCTGGCTCGGAGGCACGGCTGCAGGGGCTCTGCGGGTGGTCAGCTCCACATTTCTTATTCTGCTTCCCCTTGGTTAATCTGCTTAGACATTCCCTCTCGACTGCCTGTTGTGTAGATGAAGATTTGCCTTTTACATACTCCTGCGAGTGTCGTTTTACTCTCTCAATATTTTAAAATATAACTTTATTGATTTCAGAGAGAGGAAGGGAGAGGGAGAGAGAGATAGAAACATCAATGATGAGACAGTCATTGATCGGCTGCCTCCTGCACGGCCCCGTTCTTACACATATATTCTTACACATCCATTGGCCTTATTAAAAAAGAGACCACAGGCCCGAGATGGAGTCCCCTGTGCTAAATCCACAGCATAAAAACCAGCACTTAATACCTAACTTAATTACAGTTTCAACCTCTCCCAGGGGTGGAATCTTAAACCAGTCAGTCTGGAATTAACCTGGTCAGCTCTAGTGAGGTCATCTGCCTGAGAGACCCCTGTCGTCCCCTGAAAGAAGGTGACCTTGACACAAACAATCCACTCTGCTAGAAACCTTCCCTCTGCTGCATGAGATGCTGCCCGATTCATGAAGAGTTCAATGAAACCAATAAGATCTTTAAAATTTACTCTGTTGAATTTTGTTGTTTAACAGCCTCAATGATCATTTTCGGGGTAGTCAAACCTGTCTGTTTTCCCCTGTCTCCCCCATCCCCGAAACTTCTCTCTTATAGTCCTGCTCCATCCCGGGCTGGCTGTTCCCCACCTGCTCACGGCCATCCTGGGACCTCCCTTTCCTCGTTGGAGCCCTTGGTCTCTGTCCTGTGTTGGGCGTCCTGCTCTCTTGACCCTGTGTCTTCTCTTTCCTGCTTGTCCCCTTGTTCGTTGAACTTCCTGAGAAGGGTTACATGGGAGACAAAATTCTTTTGAGAGCTCGTGTGTCTGAAAATGCCTTTATTCTATCTCACATTTGATCGATGGTTTGGCTGAATATAGAATTCTAGATTAAAAATAATTTCCTTCAGAAGTTTGCAGGCACCTCACCATTGTCTTCTGGCTTCCAATGTCACTGTAGAGAGGTTTGACGTCATTCTTGTGCCCCATTTTTGTATGTGCCCATTTCTCCCAGTCCTCCGGAGGCCTTCGGGGTGTTTCCTGTGACCTCCGAGAGTGAGGGTCCTGCTCTGGCTGGATGTTTGATGGACTGTTTCAACCTAGAGACTTATATTCGCCAGTCCTGGAAAGCCTTCCTCTTTTTATTTCTTTGATAATCGTCTCCCTCCCACATTCTCTGCTTTCCACAATTCCCCTTGACTTGATGTCTTTCTTGGGGAATGATCCTCGAACTTTCTTCTTTCTTCTGTTTGTTCGTCTGTCCCTTTTGCGATTTTCGTTGTTTATTTGTTAGTTTGCATGTCTTGTTACACTTTTGGGGAGATTTTCTCAATTTTCTTTTCTTTATTTGCCCGCCCCAACTTTTAGAAACTTTCATTTCTGTCTTTATTTCCATTCTGTTTAAGAGTTTCCATTCTGGCTGGGTAGCACAGTTGGTTAGAGTGCCATCCGATACACCCAGGTTGTAGGTTTGATCCCCGAAAGTGATGTTTCTCTTTCTTTTCCCCTTCCTCTCTCTAAAATCAATAAATTTTTTAAAAAACGTTTGTGGAAGAACAGCTTAAGATCATTCAGTGGTTGTTCCTTAACCTTATTTTCTTAATGTTACAGATTTCCCCCCTGCTATTATATTTTTAATTTCCAAGAGCTCTATATTATTTTCTGATGATTTCTTTTCTTAAAAAAGGCTCCTTTTCTTGTGCCATAGACGTAATATCTTCTTTTTCTAAAGATATTTAAAATTAAAGTGTTGAAAATTTTTTCCTGCTCTCTGCATCATATCCCCCCCTCTCATTTTAGTGGGGGGTTGTTTAATTCGGGGACAGTTTACACAGGAGAGGGCCGGGTGAAGGAGGACAACAAGGGATGGTGAAGCATTTTAGCAACAGCAACAGCACGGAGGAGCTAAGGCCGCTGCACTGGGCAGGGAGGGTGGCTCCCCGACCCAGCAAGAGCTGTGGCTGCCTCTGCAGGAGGAGCTGCCGGGAGAGCTGTAGCAGTGAGATCTCTGTAGCAGTGAGATCTCTGTAGCAGTCAGGGTGGGAGAGGGCCCCAGCCAGCCTGCAGCCCGGTAGGGAGGGAGCAGGGTAACAAATGCTCTGAACTCTCCTCTTCTCTGCGCCTTTTCTATGACTGATTACTCCTTTTATCTCGGGCTCTCACATGGCTTGGCACCCTTACTGATCCTGTCTTTATTTAAAGTTTTGATATTTTGTCATCATAGTTTTGTTTGGATTAATTTTGATTTTTAAAAACTAGGGCATTAAAATAGTCTCTGTCTTGATGCCTGACTTTGTTGGTCGTTACATGCTGCCCCTGAGATCAGTGCCTCACTCTCGCCCTAATCCTGGCCCTGAGGCAGAAGGCCCCGCTCGCTCATGCCCTGTCTCCTCCATCCTTCAGAACCAAGGAGCTGTGATGGGATGATGGAGGACGGCCACCGCGGGAGAGGTCCCCTGAGTATGGGGACACCTTGAGGCTCACCCTTCCCTGTCCCCCAGCTTAGTGGGGCCGTCAGTTACAGAACTGATTCTTGCTTTGGGCCAGAGACCGTGGCCAGAGGGCCACGTCCCAGGCTGTACAGAGACGACCTTGCAGAAGAGAGCCACAGAGACACGGCCTTCTGGAAGCACTTGTGTGTGGGCGTTCAGAAAGGGCAGTGGGATCATTAAGAGCCAGATTCTTGGGCTCCACCCTGCACTGACTGGTTCAGAAACTCTGCAGATGGAGCCTGGAAATTTGTTTCTTTAAAAGCCAGCCCGCCCTCCCCAGGGCAATGTGATTCTCATGGTCATCTAGGTGTGGGAACTGCTGACATGTAACATTTGAAACCAATTTCAAAACCGGTTACCAGATTGCTCACCAGAACATGAGACTTTCTCAGGCACCACATGGCTGGCCTTGACCACAAGACTTTGACTATCCTGGGGCTTCATGGCTCCCTCAGCAGCCACACATCAGGATTCCACGTGGAGGAGCAGGGCCACCTTTGCGGGAGGTCCCTCTGACTGTGTGAGGGGCTGTGCCCAGCTCTGCCAGAAGACAGGAGGCCAGACTTCCAGATCAGACGTCCACAGTAGCTGGGAGACAGTTCAGATGTCGGGTCCGGAGCCGGAAGCCCTCCTCGGCAGCCTGACTCCCACCAGACGAAGCTACCAGGATAGGTACAAATCCTGGCACTTAAGTGCAGAATAAAGTGGGAGCGGTGTGGCTTGCTTAGCAGCAGCTCAGGAAGAAAAGGCTTGGGGCTCCTCACTGCCTGTGGGCTGAGGATGAGTCAGGAGTGAGAAGTGGCTGCCAAGGACGGAGGTGGCAAAGCCAACTGTGTTCGTGGAAACCCACAGAAACCCTGGGACCAGGGCTGGGGCTCTGGGGATCCTGTGGGGTATTTCTCAGCCTAACCACAGCTGAGGGGCTTGAACCTCCCTTTAGATGGTTATCTAGAAACCAGAGTCATGCAGAATGGTTGCAGGAGTTTGGGGTAGTTAGCCTGGCATAGAGAAGGCTCTAAATGTGGCTGGCTTCCAGTGGCTGCAGGGCTGCGACTGGGGCAGAGGAAGTAGATGATTTTTCTCCATAGCACTTATCCTGGCCCACACTGAATTCTCTATTTATTTGTTTATATTGCCTGTCCTCCTGCTGGAACTGAAGCACATGAGACCCGAGACTATTTTCACTCTGTCGCCAGTGCCTGGCACATGGTGGGAGCTCCTCCTTTGAAGGAACAAAGGAAGTAAGGATTTATTCATCCCCAGAGGCCTCGAAAGAGGTCATTGAGGAGAACAGGTTGTGCCTGGGGCGGGTTGTTGGATTCAGTGGCCTCTGAGGACCCCAGCTCTACTGAGTGTTGGGTTCCCACACGTAAGAGAATGTCAGTGTTTATACACATGTGTGTGCACACCCGC